TAGTTGCAAGTCTGATAATTATTTTTTGACTTTATATAGTTGCATTTTTTGCTGAATGAATGATAAAATCATGAATTAATTTTTTTAACTAGATATCTGTCATTACTTTATCTCCTAAAGTATGAAAATGTTTGACAGCTGTGTATATTACAGAACAAGAGAAAAGGAAGATCAAAAAAAAAAATTTAATCTAAGCTTTAATTCATGAATAATTATATATTTACCTCTGATTTCTGCATCTCCCATCAATAATATTTATCCTGTTCTCTCTCCAGTACCAGAGTCCAGGCCGTTGGTCACACCCTGGCATGGCTATACATGTAGCAGCTCAGGTAGCTTCATTGAGAGAGAAGAGTGTCCAAGAAATTTTAGCATTCACTAGACAGAACACGAATAAGGTCTATGGGGTGTAGGAAAGATAGTGGATGTGCCTTAGTTGTCTAGGTAATTGCATTGAATGGGTTGTTTTGTACATGGATTTTTTTGGATGGTGAGTGTTATTGTTGATACCCTGTTCCTTTCTTGTATCTTGTAGAAGCTACTGAATTAAATGGATACTAGTGTTTTGTTGTGCAATAATAGTGCAATGCAAATATATTGTGTTTATTGGATGGAATAAGTCATATATGGATTTCTTCTCACTGTTGTTAGAATATTAAAAGAATTGTTTGGTTCCTTTGCATATTTTTTCCCATTCAGAATACTGATACTTGTAAACCTTTTACAGAGATCATCAAGACTATGTAGTAAAAGCAAAAGCAGCTCTTTTATGAAATAGTTTCACATTTATGTTATTATAAAAATAGTGATTTACATTAGTTAGTTTATATACTGTTCTGGTCTGCATGGGAATAATGATAATAAATAATACTGACTTTGCTGGCAGCAGTGGAACTACATCAAATATGTAACCTGTTAAGTGTTACAATACTTTACATATAGGGTACCCTCACAGGTTACAAAAATTTTTTTTTTTTTTTTTTAGCCCAAATAACCCCAAAGCAATCAAGAAACAATTAATACCTTTAAAGGGATCAGCGCACTTTTTTTTCTTTTTTTCCCCAGACCTGGACTTCCCCACCCCCACTGCTGCCAAATCTTCTCCCTTTGCTTCTGATGTGCTTCATACGCTGTCTTCCAGCATATTTTACATGCAACCATTAGTTAATCCATAAAACTATATATATAAACTGAATAAACTCATTTTCAAAACGAAATCACACAAATAACACAAATACAAGGTGGTGGCATGACTGCTTTCCTCGTTCTCAGAATAACCTTCGCCAAATACATAATACCTATTTTTATCACTATCATCTAGGGGGGCATCATAAATAAATTCATCATCTTCACATGAAAGCAATGAAGGAATGCTTGTTATATTTAGCAATTGCCTGCGTCTACCCGGCATGACAATAAGGACAGCTCTGGCAGCAGGAGAGTACCCAAAATTACTGCACCTTCTGGGGAAACATGCCATGTCACATGATGTAACACATCATGTGACATGAGAAACCTCTGGGCATACCCAACGCAAGGACGTCATGTGACATGAGAAACGCTTAGCGGGTTAACAAAAGGCCAGATGTTTCATTAGTGACCACTTGTCATGAAATACATGTGCAGAGAAATGGTCAGTTTTTCTTCATAGTATTTTTGTGAAACTCCTTATTAGTTTCTTTCCTTAAAATTACATTGCTTCTCTTTTCTTTCTATCAGTTTATTTCCTTAACGTATTGATTAATTGAGGATAAAGTCCATATTATCAAAAAGAAAAATCATAGGCTGCACTCTTACATTTAATTCCCAGATTAAATGTTATTTGTAACTTGATATTTTATATTGGGTTACTGATGATGGTTGTCTGATATTTTTTGCTTCAAATATTACTCAAGCATTTATTCCTCGTCAAACAATTGATTGTTACTCACTTTTTATTTGTAATAGGTAAGTTTTAACAACAACAAAAAAAAAAAACATTCACAATAATATTTATTAGTTAAAAATGGAATCCGTTACATTTTTAATGTTTCCTCATATGGGTGATGTGATATAATTTATTTTTTCCATTCACTCAAGACAGGAACGAGTTGTTTTTCTTTCAGTTAGAGGAAAAACATTCCTCAGTCCTAAATAATATTCTACTGATTACAATGTTCTTAATAATGGAATTACTGAGCATTTTGTAAGATTTTGAAGATTGCCTTTTGGAAGAGTAAAGGCAGTGATAATACCCTAGAGACAATTTTGCAGAATATATGCTACTGACACCCCAAACACAATATTATATAATGAAAGTTTGTCTCATTTATTTCTCACAAACAGATCTTTGAAAAAAAAATCTCTTAAAAGTACAACCTTCAAAGACTTTGGTATCTAGCAACATTTTAAAATGCTCCTTTTCAATCACAGTCCACTTCCAATGAATGCTGTTAGAATATATCAAAGATATAAATGTCCTGAAAAAAGCACATTACAAAAGACCCGGATATAAGAAACCTTCACAAACAACTAAGGTGTTACACTACTTAAAACAAGTAATAACAGAATTATATAATGATAGGAAAACTTCTCTCCATAATAATATATATTTTTTTTAGGCAGATGACTGACAGTAGCTCTTTGTATCAAGGATTTTCTTTCCACACATTGCACAAATACCCTTTTTATAAGCACATCCTTGACAGAAGTTGGATCCAGCTTGGTGAACTTTTGTTCTACAGATCCTACACTCCACAAATTTGGCCTGGAAAAGATGAAATATAGAATTATAACAAAGATCTTTCTGATCATTATATACTGTCTTCTTTTTCATTGTCAATGTATCATAATTCTCCTTTGACATTTACTCAGCTCTCAATTTCTACAAAGTTTACATTACTTATAAAAATATAAAACAAAAATGTTAAAGTAAACTTGTAAATCAACACACTGGCTCTGGGTGTTGTGGCCATTATGTAGTGACCCCCAATCCCATGCTTCTTGTGAGGGCTTAGAAGATGGATACTAAGGCCCAGTGTTGGGGATCTCCCCTATTTTAGACCTCAGCCCTCACAGCCAATTTTGCATGGTCTTTTCCTTTCCTTCTTTTCTTTTCTTTCTCGTCAACCCCATCTTCTGTTCACTTCTTTATATGTGAAAGCTTGACCTCCCTAATCAGACTTCGAACCTGTGTCATCACAGCTATGCAACTGCGAGACTGAAGCTAAATGCAGCAGTGCATTATTCCATCTTTCATATGAAAGCTGTGATGAAAAGATGAGAGGCTGGCTTTGGGTCAAACCTGAATGGCATCAGGGAGGCATGGGCATGGTATTCCCTGTCTAATTATTTGGTTCTTACTCCTCATGGGGATTGTGAGGGGTGAACTATTTCTTTTTCCCATATAATGCAGTATCAGTACAGTGCTTCACTATTCCCTCTAGAGGTCCTAAACCAATATTGCCAAAATTACCATCCCTCGACATGACCTACTCCATGAAATTTATATTGGTGCTGAGTCCTGCCCAGTCAGACCATATCAATCCCTCCGCCATCAGTGTCAGAAATGTTTCTGTGTTGGCCATCCTGCTAAGCACTCACTCCACAGCCCCCTGTCCTCTATGTGCCCAACCTGGCCATGACTGTTCAAACTGCTCTGCACAAGCTTGCACATGTGCCAAGTGTGGTGGCTCTCATGATGTATTTTATAGGGGATGCCCTACCAACAAGTTTGAGTCTGAGGAAGTGAACATCAGATTCAAACTTGGCCTCGCTTTATGTGAGGCCAGGCAGAAAGCAGGCCAATGAGGTTCTGCTCTTGCTACCTACTCCTGTGCTGTTCTTCACTCTTCCCCTCTCCCTTTTCCCTCCAAGATGTTTCTACATCTCCCCCAACATCTTTTCCTCCTACTCATTATGTTCTCACTTCTACCTCTCTCTGTCAAGTTCAGACACTCCAATCCCTACTCCCTCCTCGCCCTATCTATTGCATCAGACAATCTAAACGTTCCACCCCATCTCCTACTGCATCCTTTTCTATATCCACCTCATAACTCTCAAATATGTTTCCTCTTTTCCTGTCATAAGAAATCCTTTGTTTCTCAGACCTCTGCAACCAATGCCCTTTCAGAATCTCTTTGGGATATGCAACACTATCTATTCATGACCCAAAAGAACATACCTATCTCTCATCCATCTTCCAATCTCTGCTCCCATTATCTCTATTCATTCATTTATTGAAAAATTTCTGCCGTTTCAGCATCTAAGGTCATTAGAGACATACAAAATATAGCAACAGGGTTAGGCTTGGGGGCAAAAAGTCATACAGGTTTATGACAATGTATTGTAGCAAAAAGGTTACAAATGAGTTACCAATTAGGACAGAATATGTCAGATGTCAAAGGTTGTAGAGTGCTGTAGGTTAGTATGGTAGTGAAGAGGGAAACCGAAGAGCAAACAGAGTACAAAGGCCATTCAGGACACACAAAGCCAGCCTTTCATCCTTTCAGTACAACTCTCACACTTTGGGATGGAGACTGAAGGGATTGAAAAGAAAAGAAAAAAGTGAAGAAAAGATCATGTAAAAGTAGTTGACACGAGGGCTGAGGTCCAAGGTAGGGGTGATCCCCTACCCTTGGCCTCAGTCTTCAACTCCTAAGCCCCCTCAGCCCACAACAACAACAGCAATGGGGATAGGATTAGGTGGGATGTTCCCCCTACACTTCTGCCTCTCATTCCCTCCCCACACATCCTATACCACCCTGCCTCATCTGCAGCCCCCTTCCTTCCCTGTTATCCATTCTGTTTCCTTTTGTCACAACAGTGCAATATTGACATTTCTCCTGAAATTGCTCTTTGATCTAATCATGCTTAACCCCCTTTTCCCTTTAGCTAATCCCTGCCTTATCCCATGGCCATCCTTGGGGAATCCCACACTTTGTTATTGACAACATTTCCTTCTTCAGATGCATACACATCATCCACTTAATCCAATCATCGTCAGGATCCTACTACTGCCTGCCATGATCAGCAGTAAATGTTCTATTACAGAAAATTGAATATTTCTAAAAAACAAAAAAATGGACTAGCTAGAGATGATATGGAGTTTGTACAAGGAAAGCACACTCTTACCATATGGATGCAGCAAATCAAACGACAAGTATAAACATTGGGAAATGGCTGAAAAACTAAAAGCACTTCTGCAGAAAAAGAAAAAATAACACTGCAAATGGGAGGCATGGAGTCTTGTCATCACACATAAATGTTTTGTGTGTTCCTGGCCTACAAGTTCCATACCCATTAGAAAGTTTAATGCTCATATTTGGGCCCATGTGCAGGCAGTGAAACATTCACATCCAAGGGCTTAAATAAGTATTTATAGGCATTGCAAACAATGGCATAAATGAGTGTTGTTATTTTTAGCAATTAGTGTTTTTTGGAGAAAGGGGTCATGTTGCCAGCCACTCAGCCAGCCACTCAGAGGGTTAAACATTTGCACAAGCTTACTGTGTACGGGTTGAAGCGATTCTTTTTCCCTGTGAGAAGCTTGTTCTCGTTGATCTTTCGTCCTCCTCCTTCAGTTGTGTTACGAGCACCATCTTTCCATGTGTCTGGGGTAATGACCTGAAATTTGATTAGGAAAATAATCATACTAAGGATAGTATCACATGGCATGGACATGTCAGGTTTACTAATAGTACTACCCATTCATACATTAGCCAGTAGGGTACACAATGAGTAAATATCATAATGTGTCACTGGTATAACTTACTTGCCACACCATATTAACTATATATTGATCTCTCGTAATCTGACATTTATTACCCCCATCAATATGTATTAGTTTTGACTTTTGAAAGACATATTTATGGAGACACAAATCTGTTCAAATTTAAAGAAAGCCCATCTACCTGCAAGAAAAATTGCCCTTATGTGATAGGTTGTTACTGATGGGCACACCTATAGCCATCATGGATATCCTACCAATTTGATGGGAAATGTTTATACTTGTCCTAACTCGCTCTGGCAAGTGAGCGGACAGTCCAGCTTTACATAGCAAATGCTAGCTGGATGCCAGTAGTTGCTGGGATAGTTAATACACAGAAAATTATGCCCCATCAGTGTAGGGATAAGGAACTACTTCAAACTCACTCTTGCCAGACAATATATGATGGAGGTTTGTTGTGCTTTGCTAAAGCTCAAAGGAAGTCAGACCTCCACCCCTGTAGCCAGACTCTTGCCCTACTGCTTATTTTTAGGTGGACATTTTCCTACACACAGTTTGGTGTTGGAGTTTATGAATAAGACTGATTTAATGTCATGCAACAAGGACCTCCAATCCGGAATGAGATTTGTTGCATTATGCTTACCCTTGGTCACTCTTAATGCAACAAATCTCTCATAGCTGAAATATAAATAGTTTAACAACTTATAAATATTATTTCTTGTTCTTTCATATCTAAAGTAATGAGAAAAAGTAAATAGTTATACAAGATCAGATCAACCAACATTAGATCCTAATTTGTAATTAGATTTAATTATATGCAAGGAAATGCCCACTTGAACAAAAACAAACAAAGGGAACTGGCTGCCTAGCAAAAACTAGCTGCAGAGGAAGAGTTTGACCATGAGGAAGTCCTACCATCAAGCCTAAAATGTGGAACTCAAGGTATTTATTCTGGTTATTTGCATTACTTAGACTTCACACCCATAAAACTTAATTGCATTACCTTGTTAACATTTATTACAAATCCATAAAAGTTTAATATATGAATTGGTTAATCTTTATGGTATGGACACACTAAATTAGGGCAAAATTAATATGATATTCTTGTTGAAGACAAAAAGTTGCAGTCCTCGGTACAAGAAATAATTTGCAGACATGAACAGTAGCACCACAAATAAAAGAAAAAGATTGTGAAAGCGCCACTCTCAGCCTGTGGTCCCCACTGTGCATACCGAGGTAGGTGAAGACAATATTTCCTGGGGGATATTGAGGGAGCAGAGCCCCCCATCAATCCTCCCCTCGGGCAGTGATCAAAGGGCATGCTCAGTCACGGCAACAGATTAATTTATAAATTTTGTGACGCAGAGTTGGCGAGTGTGTCCAAACTGTAAAGAATTACCTATTCTTCTTCCTACAGTTAAATATTTATGTTTGCTATTTACCAATATTACAGGTATATTTTGTCATATTTCTCCCTAACAGCATGATTCCTGTGAAGCAGTTTTGTAAAAATTCCAGATATCACAAACAGGTAGGTTGTATTGACAAGAAGAGATTGTTGTCAAGTCATCATGGCAAATGTCTTTTAGACCTGATGAATGCAAAATTCTCAGCTTCACCAGATCCCACGCACCAATTCACTACACTTACACCCTACATAACCAACATTTAATACCTACAGCATCTTATAAATACCTCAGCATCCATCTAACCAACAACCTTACCTTCAACACACACATGCACTTCATCATCAATGAAGCAAATAGAACATTGGGGTTTCTGAGGAGGAACCTACACAACTGTACACCTGACATCAAACACGTAGCTTACAGCACTTGTACGCAACATTAGAGTACTGTACGGCTACATGGGATCCTTACACTAAGCACAGTATTGAGAAGCTCAAGCAGGTCAATACTAGGGCTGTCAGGTTTATTACACACAATTACACACATACACCTGGTTTTACATCACACATAAAAAACAGATTAATATGGACCTGCTCGAAACATGAAGACAAGCACACAGAGTTATAATCATGTACAAAACCACAAACAACCTTATAGACATCAACAAACACGAATACTTACAAGCAGCACACTCAAGCAACACAAGGAACTCACACACCAGTAAATCCGTCGCATACCACACCAACACTGACTCTTACAAGCACTCATTCTTCCCACATCATCAGGCTCCCCCAAGTTATAATTGAAACTAAAACACTTAATACTATCACAAACAAACTAAACAAACATTTACTACAAGCACCTTCTCAAACACTGACACTTCCACTTGCACCTTAATCCTTACCCCTTTCCCCCAGCAACCAACCACCAATTTGCACCCTGTGCATTACTATTAAGATTGAGATTGAGATTGAGATTTGATGAGATAAATTTTGATTTCTCTTTATACACTGACTGTGTCGAACCCGAGCCAAGTCAGTACTCAGTGACCCATCTGATTGCATGGAGATTTGATATATCTTCTCTACAGAATTTTATAGTGTGCCACAATATCTAGGGGGTATATTTTGTAGGGTAAATCTACTTTCAAATTCTACAACTTTGGGCAGAATGAACAAATGTTGTAGAGATCGGACTAGGTTGTCTAAATTGACTGGCCAAAAACAAGGGGGTGTATTTTGTAGGGTAAATCTACTTTCAAATTCTACAACTTTGTGCAGAATGAACGAAAACTGACTGGCCAAAAACAGAGATGTTTTAGGACATTCCCATTAAAATGATGGTGGTTCCTGTTAGCTTTGAGCACTACTAGCTTCTGCGAAACCATATTTTTATACAAAGACAGTGTGATGGGCAGAAAAAATGATGATGTCATCACGACAGCAATGATAAACGCTCACAGAATAAGAAATATTTAAGTGCCTACATATAGCAGGGTGCTCTGGAACAAAGTTGAGTAGGTACTCCACTTGCATGATACACCATATCAGCTTCATTGAGACTCATGTAGAAAACAAACTAGTGATAATTTTTTGGAATATGTCCGACTAACAGATTGTGATGATTTCAGTATCTTTGGATTCCTCTCACCATATTGGCCCTGATAGTAGGGGAAAGCTTGAAAGGTACCAGGGTGATTGCCAGGTAAACTGTTAATGATATACACAGAATCAGTCACTATATTGTCTAATGCAACCCCCCATGGGGGGTTGCCACCCATCAACCCCCATCAAGGAAAACAAAGAATCCTCAGTAAATTTGGAAAAAGACATCACCAACGCTTTTAGGGACGAAACTAGATTCGTTCGATTTCAATTGTTTTCGTTCGGTTGATTCTGGTGTTTGTTTTCATTGGAAATGGCTAGATTGTCTTTTCCATACCAGAGTTGCGCCACTCTTGCCGCCCCCCCATCCCCGCCCAGGAAACAGAGAATCATCCACGTATTCACGGCAGGAGAGAGCGTCGGACAAAGTCGGCATTGGGCGCTTCCACATGCCGTTCATACGCACGCAAAGCACCGTACATTTAGTCACTTCAGTGAAAATAAATCTAAAACAAACCTATGCAGAGGAGGGGCCGGGGTGAGGGTCCTCGATATCAGTGGAGTGGCTTGCGGGAGTGGGAGTGCCGGAAAGGGCTGCGTGAGCACGAGCGACGCGACGGCCGATCGCAGGACATTTCAGAGGGTAGAACTCCATGTTCATGTAATAGTTTCAAGCTAGCCTTATCGTCTTCAATTTTTTTTTTTTTTTTTATAAATTGGAATGTTCAAATTTTTTTTTCTTAATAACTTGGAATGGTTTGATACAACATGACACACACACGGAGGTCATGGCGAGACTAATTTGAAAATTGAATTTCATAGCTGTTTCCCTCGTGAATTCCTTCCCCATTGGCTATTAAATTAACCGCCAAACAATGAACCAATGAAATCGTGACACTGGCCGTGACATCACGGGCGAGATAACAGGAACAGTACGAATACGAGAGACCCCATGCATGCGCAGTGGAGAATTTGATCAGTATTCCCGCAGCTCTCGTGTGAACCTCACCTCATTTTATTATAATTTTTATCTATTTTGAAAATTAAATAACTTCGTAATTATTAATTTGCGAGACAAGTTTGTTTAATGAAAAGATTGATAATTAAATATCTTCAAGGCTATAAGGTTAGTTTTGGTTGATTCAAAGGTGACACCTTATTCCAATAATACCGAATCCTCCATGTATTCACAGCAGGCGTGAATGTATGATCACCATGTAGGAACAGCATTGCCAAGTCTGTGCAGGCGTGAATGTATGATCACCATGCAGGAACAGCTTTGCCAAGTCTGTCCAACGCTCTCTCCTGCTGTGAATACATGGAAGATTCTTTGTTTTCCTGGGTGGAGGTTGCAGGGGGTACAGGCCCCTGCTTTAGACAAAACAGTGACTGATTCTGGGTATATCACAAATTCCCTGGTACCTTTTGTGCTCTCCCCTGATATTAGGGCCAAGGTGGAGTGGGGTTTAGGCTGTTTCCGAGCACTAAATTTATAATTGGCAACTAGACTGAGAGGAATCCAATGATACCGAAATCATCGCGATCTGTTAGGCGGACGTATTCCAAAAAAATACTGGGCCAGCTAAATACGCGACTCAACTTGTTTGATGCAAACACTTTATTTAAATATCCATACAAAATGTTAAACAAGGGTGACGGTGATGCATGATGAATCGTCTTGACACAACTCGACTCCTTGGCGTAAACGTAGCCTGAAAACTATCAATAACTGCAATTTGCCTCAAGAAAAATACCTCCTTCCCTCTAAAAAAAAAATAACTCTACGGCTATCCTTACCTTCCCAAGTTTCTTCTGGCATTTTTCGCACACCATTTTGTCACAGGAAATTTGCAAAATTAATTCAAGGTAAAGTTCCGACCCGACCGTCCCTTTCTTCGATTGTTTACAAACAATACGTTCGAGTTTTTATTATTATTATTATCATTATTTTCTTTGTTACTCTCGTTTTCCTTGAATTGCCAAGAGAAATTGTTTCTTATATTCCCATTTGTAATTTAAGACAGATTTTAACCAATGACTGATTTCCTTATAGATATAACGTTCAAGATTAATTTTCAGTTGGTTTGTTTTTTTAATCATACTTTATTAATCTTATTTGAATATTCTTATTATCATTAATCCATATATTCATAATATGTTTCTGCATACTCGGTCGATGAAATGTTTTTCTTCTTCTTCTTTCTTCTTTTATAGGGTTTTAGACTTTTGCATAGTCTATATCCCCTGGATCTTTTTTCTTTTCTATTCTTTCTTTTATATGATCTCTGTTAGTTTGGTTTTTCTTAAAAAGATTTTGGTGTGTCTAAGAGTATAAAACTTTTCTGTTGGGGAGAGATCTGCACCTGTGAATAATAAGTTTATGTTAGGGTTGATTACTTTGATTTTTCTTAAGGCTTCTTTCAATTTTGTTCTGCTGGAGTGGAATCTTGGACAGTGTAGGATTAAGTGTTCTATATCTTCTTCTTGATTATGACACCATCTACAGTAAGGGTCATTTGTTATTTTCATTCTATGTAGGTGTTTATTTAGTCTTGTGTGCTTAGTTATTATTCTAGTTATGCAGACATCTAATTTTCTATTTTTGGATCTTAACCATGGCTGCGGTTCTGTGTTCTGCAATAGATAATTCTTTGTGTTAAGAATTGTATTTAACTGAGTTTTCCAGTTTCTCTGGTTTTTTTTTTTTCATCTGTTTTATCTGTTTTTGTGTCTTCATGTATGGTTATGGGATATCTTATTTTGTGTGCTTTTTTAGCTGCTTGATCTACTATTTCATTTCCCTTTATGTTTTTATGTGAAGGTATCCACTGTAACATTATTATTTGATTTTGATTTACCATTGTATATATCAATTCTTGTATTTCAAAAGTCATACTTTTAGAATTCTTAGGTTTCGGGTTAGATATTAGTTGAAGTGCAGATTTAGAATCTGTAAATAGTACTGATTTTGATAATTTGTTATTTTGTATGTTTTAGCCCTTGTTTTATTGCAAAGAGTTCTGCTTCTATTATTTCTGTATTGTTTGGTAGTTTCCATATTGTTGTTATATTGTTATCTTGTATGTATATTGCTGCTGATGTGGAATCGTTGTTTATTTTCGAGCCATCTGTGAATAATTTTTTATAATTTCGATATCGTGTGTTTTCTAACATTATATATTGTGCTCTTATTATTTGTTCTGGGATATTTTTGTTTGCTCATCTAAGAATTTTGTTTCTATATTTTTTGTAATATCAAACCAAGGTGGAATAGGGGTTATGTTTGACATTGTTTTTATCTTTATTTTCACTTGCAATTCTTTGTTTTTTTATTATTCTATGGATTAAGTTATTTTTATCCTTTTGAGGGTTATATTCTTTTATATTTTCTGTTAACATTTTTTTTATTTGTGTTTTCTTTTTTTTCTAGTATTTTTAACATTTGGGTGAATTCTTTTTCTTTTAGTTTATTTTTGATCGACATTTTATTTGTTAGGGCATAGAGTGCATTTATTGGAGTGGTCTTTAAACATCCAGTGGCTATTCTCAAAGCTCCATTTTGAACTGTTTCAATTTTTTTTATTTCTGTGTCATTTGCTGTTCCATAAATTGTTATACCATATTCTATTTTTGGTTTTATGTAGATATCATAGAATTTTATCATTGTCTCTCTGTTTGCTCCCCATGTTGTTGTTGATAATTTTTTCATTATGTTTATTCTATTTGTACATCTAATTTTCAAGTTATTAATATGGTTTTTCCACTTTAGTTTTGGTGCGTCGAATTCGAGTCCTAGGATTGTATGTTTATTGTGAATTTTAGTTCTTCATTATTTATTTTTATTATTGGTATTTTGTCTTATTCTTTTTTTTGTAAAGCACATTACTTTGCTTTTAGTTAAATTTAATTTAAGCTCCCAGTCGTTAGCCCATTTTACTATTTTATTTCCTACTTCTAGATTGATTTTTGCTTCTTCTAGATTTTCATTTATTGTTATTATATTTATGTCATCTGCATATATTTATTTTGTTGGTTTTTACTGTTAGATTTAGATCTGACATCATTATGTTGAATAGTAATGGACTTAATGGAGATCCTTGTGGAAGTCCTTTACTTATTCCTCCTTCCTCGGATTTTTGGTTTCCTATTATTATTTGGTAGGATCTATTATTTAAAAAATTAGATATCCATCTGAGAGGAGTACCCGTTATACCTAGTTTAGCTGCTTTTATTATTATTGCATCGTGGTTTACTTTGTCAAAAGCTTTTTCTAAATCCAGAGATGCTATTAGGGCATATTTTTTCTCTTTATAAGCTTTTTTAATATGAAAATCGATTATTTGTAATGTATCTATTGTTGAGCTATTGGGTCTGAAACCTGTTATGTCTTGACTTAGTTTGTTATTTTTTTCAAGCCACCATATTAGTCTATTGTTGATTATGCTTTCCAGCATTTTCCCTATACATGAGATTCTGCTTATGAATCTATATGATTTTTTATTTGCTGGATCTTTATCCGGTTTTAATATCGGATTTACAAGTGATTTCTTGAATTCTATAGGATATTCTCCTTTTATCCACAACTGATTATAGATGTTTAAAATTTTTTCCAGTAGGTTATTTGGGATATTTTTATAAAATTCATAAGGGATACTGTCTGGGCCACAAGCTTATTATTTTTTTTGTCTTTTTTATTACAGAAATTAATTCTTTTAATGTTATCTCCTTTTTTAAACCGTTCGTACTTGGCAATTCTATTAAACTTTTAAATTCTGATTTTGTTATTAAGCATTTTGTTTTTGTGTTTATTATACTTTGGAATTCTTCTTTTAAGAGTTTTAATTTCTTTTTTGTTTCTTGTATTGGCTGATCATTATCTATTAGCGGGTAATTATTTATTCTATTACTGCCTGAAAGTTTCTTAATAAAATTCCATATTTTTTTGGTTGGGTTCTAAAATCTAATGAGTGGCAGAAATTTGACCAACTTGTTCTTTTTTCCTTTTCTATTGTATCTCTTGCTATTATTTGAAGTTTTTTGTATTCTATTCTGTTTTTTTCATTAGGATTTTTTCTCCATTTATTGAATGATTTGTTTCTTTGTTTTATTACTTCTTTACATTTTTTATTCCACCATGGTTTTGTTTGGTTTATTTTACTATTATCATTATTTAATCTGAAATGTTTCATCCCTATGTTTTTTATTATTTCTGTTATTTCGTTCAGTGATTTTATATTGTCCACATCTATTTTTTGTATTTCTTCTTTAAATTTTATCCATCCTTCTTCATTGAATTTCCATTTTTCCTCTTTAACTATTGTTTCTCTATTGTGATTAATGTCTCTTATTATGATTGGAAGGTGATCGCTTCCTCCATATATTTTTGCTTCTACTTCTAATTTACTCAGTTCTGGGTGCCCAGAACTAGGTCTATTGTAGACCCTTTACCTGTTTTCGGATCTATTCTAGTAATTTCCTTTTGGAGTTAACATCAGTATGTTATTTTGATTTATTAAATTAAACAAGTTTATTCCAGTGATATTTGTTATATTTTGGTTTGTTTTTGAATTCCATAGCGGATGATGGGCATTAAAATCTCCTATTATGAGTTTTGGTTTTTCTATTTGGTTTATGTAGTGTTCCATATCTTTTTGATTTACTTTGTTACATGGGTTGTATATTAAAAGTAAGTGTAGCCATCCTCTTTTATAGCTAATCTTTATAGCTAATGTTTCGATGTTTTTATTTTGTAATTCATTTAGATTAATCTTCTTGTATTGTATATCATTTTTTATACAAATTGCTAAGCCGCCTCCCCTTTGTTCTATTCTATCATTTCTTATGATATCATAATCTTTTATATCAAATTTGTCATTATTTGTAAGCCAAGTTTCGCAAATTGCGAATATCTCCGGGTTTTCTGTTTGAATTAGATATTCTATATCTATTTTTTTTGTTTATTACAGATCTAGCGTTCCATAGTATTGTTTTAGTCATTAAACCAAACTGATATTTGTTTTAATATTGGAGCAACTTCAGTTATTATCTCTGTTATTTCAATTATTGTTTTGTCTGATTTGAATTTTTCGGTTATATTAGTTATTAATTTGAAAATTCCTTTTGTTATTTCAACAAATGAAGGTTTTTCTTCTTTGTTTTTTTGTTCTTCTTCTTCTTCTTTCTTCTTCTTTTCTTTTATTGTTGGGGTTTTGTTTAGTGGTGTTGGTAGAGACCATGTTATGGGGGATTCTGTGAGTTTCTTGTCTTTTATGTTTTGTTCCTTGTGTGTGTTTGTTCTTTTGTTTTTTCTTGACTGTTTTTTTGTTTTGATTTTGTTGATTGAGTTGGAGTATTTTCTGCTCTGTTTGTGTTATTTTTTTGTTTTGTGGGTGTTTTTTGTGCTGGTGTTATGTTATTTGTTTGTGTTAGTATTTTAGCATATGTTTGTGTTATTTGGGTTTGTTTGTTGTATAGTGTTTGTGTTATCATCTGTTTGTTGTTTGTAATCTGTTTCTGAGTTGTGTATTTCTGCTGTGGTAATTATTATGTTTTTTTGTATTGGTTGATTCTGTTTTTGTGTGTTGGGTTTAAGTGATGGAAAAGTTTTTTTACTTCTAAGTTATTTGGTGTTGTGTTTTTTTTGTTTATTTCTTGGGCTTTTTGATGAATTGGGCAAGTTTTATCGTATGCTGTGTGGTTACCTTTACAGAAAAAGCAATGAGGTGGATTTTTGCAATCTTTATATTTGTGATCTTGTTGGCTGCATTTACTACATCTTATTTTGTTTTTGCATGATATCAACCCATGGCCATACATTAGACACTTAAAACATTTGGATATTGGGAATGTGTATTGATATACCTTATAACTTATATGACCTATTGTTAATTTGTTAGGTAATGGACCTCTGAATGTTATTTTCAGGGATTTAGTAGGAATCCATTTATTTTCTCCTGATATTTTACTTGGTTTATGAATCCTTGTTATATCTTTTATGTATGTATCTGGCCCCCATAGTATCTTTTTTTTTCTTTGATTTCTTCTATTTCTATATCTGTTTCTACTGGGGATATTGTTCCATAGGAGCATCCTTGATCTTTATTTGATGCAGGTTGCTTACAGTTTATTTCCCAGTTGCCTAGGTATTTAATTTCATTGAGAGGTCCAATTTTTGATATATCTACTACCTCGAATCTAATGGCTTTTCCATCTCCTATTACTCTTAATGAATTTTCAATTATGTATTTTTGAAAAATTGATTTATTTATGGCCTCAGTTAACCTTATTGGATGGTTGAAGTTTGAGGTATTTGATTTGTTTGTTATTTGTATTAGAATAACATTTTCTTGAGGGGTACCTTGAGTTACTGTTCCGTAGGTATGGTTCTCCGTGGTCTGTTTGCCGGTTTCTTCGTTTCTTGCTTGTTTGGTGTATGGGCAATCTTCGCTATCACTGTCTCGTCTTCTGCTGTTTTTCTGGTGTTCGTATATCATTTCATTGTCTTTTCCAGGTTCTTCACCTGGATCAAGATCAAAGTTTCCGTTCATAAGCTTTCACTTCACTGAGTTCGGTACTTTTTAAAGATTGATCACTCTTACACGTTGATGTTCACTCTTCAAAGTCTCGACCGGTTCTCCCGATGAAATGTTTTTAGAAAATAAACCACTTGCTGTGACGTCATTGGATGAAGGAAAACAAATAAAGATAAAATTATATTTTATAATTATAAGGAAAGGGAAATAGTAATGCTGAATATCAATATGATTTCATCAAACAACAACAGCAGCAGCACTAGCAACAACAAAAACAACAAAATAAAAAACACGTAATAGCAGAAATTTAAGAACTCAAAAGCCACCCAAATATAATAAGTACCGACTTAAAATAAATTAAAATGAATACATTCACTATACTTAAGTAAATCAAACAAACAAAAGACTTCAATTGCAGCACAGCAAATAATACACTGGGAAAGCAGAGAAGCAGCGCCAAGAAAGAAACCAAAGCAGGAAGAAACGAGCTCAAGAGAGACGAGGAAGTGCTTCTTACACAAAGAAAAAAATGACAATCTTGTGCTTCAATTAACCGCTTCATTCACCTTTAAAGATGCAAGCGTCACCATTAAAGCTTATTTCTTTCGTCAGCGTCACCGGAGTGGTAAATTAAGTGGTAGATTTTGTAAAATTAAAGAAAATGATGAGCTGTCAAGTGTGTGGCGAAGGCCACGTAAATATTATTATTATTATTATTATTTTGTTTATGTCTAGATTTTTTTATCTTATTTTTTATGGTTTGCTAATGTTGTTCTTGCTTCCTAATGGTCATGTGATTGAATTTGTGTGCTTTTTGGTAGAAGTAGGAGTGATTGATAAAAAAAAAAAAAAAAAAGTGTTCCTTTGAAATAGTAAATATATTGCTTGTGTTTATTATAATGCATGGTTTGCAGTCCTGTGTATTATGTGATTATCTCTTTTTTTACTACAATCTGTTAGTCATGCCATGTCAAATACTATGAAATTTGCTTTTTAATTTTGATTTCCCCTTTTGGTAATTCTGTAGAAAAATTTTGTCAGGCCAAGCTATGTTGGATAAATCAATTTGTGATTAATTATAGTCATGGTTTTATGGGAACGCAAACTGATTTTTATTGATGAGGTTTGAATGTGACGTAGGCCTAGATTTACGTAATCATTGACAGTCAGTTGCTGCTGCTTCGTCACCTCCGATGCTCAAACAAAAGCCAACAAACCTCTAAGAGGGAGCTGGGAGCATCAGACTGTTCCTAGTCAGTGAAAAATGACCAGGGAAGTCCAAAGACACTCAGTGATTATTTCTTGGCCTTTGCCAGTGTGCAAATAATATTATAACTGGATTTGATTAACAGTGATTGTCATTTTGCTAGTGTAAGTGTAAGTTCGTTTTATTCCAAGCAATTTATTGTTTATAATTTCTATGTAAAAATACAATATTTATGTCATAATTGGCAATGTAAAATAATGCAGAAATATAATAATGTTAATGATAACAGTAACAATAATGGTAATGATAAAAAGAATAATACACCAGAGATGACCAGCATCTTACCAAGTGAAGTTAAAGGTAATTCTTTTAAGTACGGAAGCACTCACCAGAGACAAAGCCTCGAACTCTGTGTCACAAAATTTATTCAGTCTAAGTTGCGGTGATTGGGTGTTGATGGGGGGCTCTGACCCTCAACACTCCCTGGGAAACATTTTCTTCACCTAGTATGGATGGTAAGATAGAACTAAGACCATAGGTGTTGCAGTGGGTGGCACTTTCCGCTATCTTTATCTTTAAAATTACTGTTTGTGTCTGCAAATTACTTTTTGTACAAACGACTACAATGTTTAGTTATCTACAAGAATATCATTTTCAATTGGCCTTACCTTAGTGCATCCATACTGTAAAGATTAACCAAGTTGAAATCATGTTTCCAGATGTATTTTGATCTTGTCTAACCCACTGGATCTGGGAAATGTGACTGTAATGTCATGAAAAAAAATTGACTAAAGGGCTAGGTGACTGGATTATGCCATCATAGACAAGTTTGGCTGAGGGCTGGGTCAATAGAAATGTGCTGTCCCCCCCAAAAAAAAAAAAAAAAGGAGAGGGGGGGGAGGACACTATTTCTGTGTTCAGGAGCCTATTCACTGGGACTGATGGTGCAGAGTAAATTACAGAAAATTGCTTAACCCCAAGCTGCCGGGCATGGCATGTACTTACATGCCATTGTCCATTGTGTGTGTTGAATTTAGTAATTGGCCTTCCTGTAGATGGCTCCACAAATACTGTCACCAATTACAGGAACTACCTGTCTCACCTGTTTACCCTTTTCCTTGGTTTTCGATAATATTTTAAAATGTTATTACTACTGTTAGTAATTTCAGTAACAATATAGTAGTTATAATGTTTTAACAAAAACAACAATGTCAATATTGATAGCATTAGTTTAAAAAAGAGTTTTCCTGCTTTTTCAAGGAAAAGTAAGGTCGCAAGATCTACTAATTGACTCCTTTATGGCTAAGCATTGGCAGAACCATCTATGTGTAGAAACATTTAACCAATCATTGCCAAAGGGAACGCACCATTTTCCCGGGACATTGGTTAATAAAAAAAATATGAAAGAAAAAAGAATTATAAACAGAATCAGTCACTAATGCAACCCCCCCCCCCTTTGTTATTGTTATTACAGAAAGTTGTAAACTACCTAGAGAGATGATAGGGAGTCACTCTTTTACCATGTTAAATCAAATCAGATAACCAACATAGATCTTAAAAAATGGTAAAAAATGCTTATAAATGCAAAGAGATAATAGCATTGCAAAGAGAAGTTAGGAGGACAAACAGATACATGCGCTTAGATAACACACATGCAGAAATACACACACGCAGAGATACACACAACACAGATACTCACAGATAGACACAGATAAACACACATACACGCATGCACACCCATACCCATACCCCCCCCCCCCCACACACACACACACACTCACTCACTCACTCACTCACTCACTCACTCACTCACTCACTCACTCACTCACTCACTCACTCACTCACTCACTCACTCACACACACACACACACACACACACACACACACACACACACACACACACACACACACACACACACACACACACACACACACACACACACACACACACACACACACACACACCACACACACACACACACCAAACACACACACACACACACACCAAACACACACACACACACACACACACACACACACACACACACACACACACACACACACACACACACACACACACACACACACACACACACACACACACACACACCAAACACACACACACACATGTGTGATGCATATTACAATTAATTAGAATCCTGTTCTACCTCATTTTTTTTTTTTTTTTTTTTTATCTATTTTTATTTTTGTTATTATTATTGATATCATTATTTTGATAATTATTCTTCCTCTTTCAGGCAAGTATACTGCATTGAAATAGGTAGACAACATAGATATTATGTAGTTTGTACTCATGTATTATTTACACAATTATCTTTGGGCAGAGGTTAAGAAGGGTAGGAGGAGAAAGGGGAAAAGAAAGGGGAGAGAGGGAGAAAAAGAGGAGTGGGCCAAAAGGGGAAAGGGAGGAGTGGAGGTGAAGGAGCTTAAAGAGAATTTGGATATGGAGAAGGGGAAATGGTGGATTTAAAAGCAGAATGAGTATGGGGAACGGGAGGGGGAAGGGAGAGGGGATTCAGA